TGTTGCTGGCTGTATCTGGTATTCCTTGTATCAGATATTTTATAAATGCGTCAGTTAAAATATTCACTCGGCTGTTCGCTGTTTAATCTCGATGAAAATTCCCGTTTCACTGCCGCTATAAATTTTTCTATCAGTACATCTTGGAAACCTGTTGTCCATATTTCGATCGGGTAGGCATTGGAATCATTAAATATGCGAAGTCTCCTCAAAGTCACAAAAATTAATTGTAAATTGGGCTTGGGGAAAGCCGTAATGATTTGATCCTGATCTGATGCAACCTAAATTTATCATCTTCTCTCCGCGACTTTATGCCGGCTTCGTTTCATATCATCTACTACTCGTTTCATCTGACTTTCTCTCTCCGCTTCATCGTCATTGCCTTCATCTGTCAGCTTTTCTTCCTCTTGTTCTTCGTAGAAAGTAAGGTCCATCAGGCTTGATATTATTTTCTCCATCAATTCTTCTTTGTCACCCTCGTAGGCTATGTGCAGAATGTTTGAAAAACTCGTGAGCCTTTGATAAAATCAAATCCCTCAAATTCTCTTTCGTGTACTTCTAGCCCCTCGTATTGGAATATCAACATGATGAGTTTTTTAATTACCGAGAGGGCAACAACTTTGTTTTTCTCGGCGATTTTGGAAATTTGACCTAGAGTAAGCATTGTAACTAATAACTGACACTATTAATTTAAAACGTAATAGAGAAGTTTCGAAATTCATTGTGGATTTTTTTATAACTATATTCTTGATGTAAAATTAAGTCGCCACTTGGCAAAATTGGTTGATGGCGGGGGAGAAATATGTTTTTTAAACAGCCTGTTGATTTTACCTACTGAAATTGTTATACCTGTTATTGTGACAAATCAATATTGGGAGATATGTATAAGCGTTCCAAGTTTTCGCAATTTAGCAAGTATGAGTAGATAACACTAAGTTGCTTGACGTCAGCCTTATTGTTCATACTACCGTCAGTCATGAAATTGTGTGACATTTCTAAGAACAAAAGTTTAGAGAGATGCTCTTCTCTGTCAAGGATCTTGATACCGTTATAGCACATCGAGTCAAGCAACTTAGTGTTATTTACTCATATTTGCTAAATTGCGAAAAATTGGAACGATTACATATGCAACCACATATAATAATAAATCGCCTTTATTTAGGGGGCGAAGTTTAGCATAATGCTACTCTGCCAACATTCATTTCGGGCCTGTATATGTATATATATATATATATATATATATAACTTGAGACGTGGTCATTGTCGTCTAGATCAGTTAGGTGAAAATTAAAGCTTCCGCCTTTTGTTGGGTACTTCGACAAAATCTATGCAAGGAGGACTCTTTATACTTTTTTAATCTCTCTAGCTTTCAATGGTCTTTGCCATCATCATCAGGAGCTGCAATTACATTGATAAAAGTAGCAACAATTGTGTAAAATGAATTTACAGTAGTATGTGAGGATGTTGCTAAATGTTATTTACGTTAAGGATGAGGGAAACACCCAGTAACATGGTGAAAGCTGGATACATGATAAAATTGTCAAAATTATACAAACTACACATAGCTGTATGACAAGAACAAATTAAAAACAGATTAAAAATAGTTAAAACTGAAGTTAAGCATTACATCGTGAAGCCACTTGATGATTGCACAAAATGGTGGGCATAGAATCATGAGCAAGATGAACCTTTTGACAGATGGCCGAAGGTTAGCAGTGTCCGTGTAAGAATGATGGAACGAAAATTCTTTTGTAAGGCGTGTGCTACGTTGCCAAATAACTTGGTGTGATTTGCAAGATATGTTGGGTAAGAACTTGTCAACCCGACCAGAGGCAGTTGAATTAACTATATTATTATGAGATGGGCAAGAAACCCATGGCCTCAGGCCGGTTCCTCAATTTTAGGTCATACCATAAACTAAGGATTAAAATCAACTTGGTGAAACAGATGAAAACAAGGGTAATCAGTATCTCAGATAATACTTTCCATACTTCAAATTTACGGAAGCTATCAAAACTGTTCATTAACAATGGTTATCCGAAGTGTCTGATTAGCAAGATCTTGTTCAGCTCTCTCCCAGTATTTTACCAAACTCTAATGATACAAGCAATAGTCTCATAACTCCTAATAACAGAACTGATACAATTCCCAACAACAACACCAATTCAAACATCAAAGATGAAAGACAATCAATTGCAACCAAATATACATAGGTCAGACCTCCAGATCTCTTAAAGGAAGGATTGCATCACACAAAAGTGATTCTAGGTTACATCCCGAGAGATGTGCTCTAGCATCTCATGTCAACACAACAGGGCACTCTATGAACTACACAAGTATCAAGGTTCTCGATAAAGAAAAACACCCATCCAAACGTTTATTCCTGGAAATGTCCCACATTTTCATGAATGACAACTGTATCAATAAGAAGACAGATGTTAAGCAACTGAGCGTCATTTACTCATATTTGCTAAACTGCGAAAAACTGGAGCACTTACACATCTCTCCAAATTTTGACTCTTCACAACCATAAATGGAATCTGTTTTTTGGTCTATTCCACCAAAAAATTCCATTCCATTCAAATTTTAATAATTTTTTTCTCATAATTAAATAATAACTGTTAATTCAATTGCCCATCTCATAATAATATAGTTAATTCAACTGCCTCTGGTCGGGTTGACAAGTTCTTACCCAACATATCTTGTAAATCACACCATCTGAAGTGATTTGGCAACGTAGCACACGAGTTACAAAAGAATTTTTGTTCCATCATTCTACACGGACACTGCTAACCTTCGGCCATCTGTCAAAAGATTTATCTTACTCATAATTCTATGCCCACCATTTTGTGCAATCATCAAGTGGCTTCACGATGTAATGCTTAACTTTCGTTTTAAACATTTTTAATCTGTTTTTAATTTGTTCTTGTCATACAGCTGTGTGTAGTTTGTAAAATTTTGACCATTGTACCATGTATCCAGCTTTCACCATGTTACTGGGTGTTTCCCTCATCCTTAACGTAAATAACATTTAGCAACATCCTCACATACTACTGTAAGTTAATTCAAATTCATTTTACACAATTCTTGCTACTTTTATCAATGTAATTGCAGCTCCTGATGATGATGGCAAAGACCATTGAAAGCTAGAGAGATTAAAAAAGTATAGAGTCCTCCTTGCTTAAATTTTGTCGAAGTACCCAACAAAAGGCGGAAGCTTTAATTTTCACCTATATATATATATATAGTGAATTGTTAATTCATATCATTGCATGAATAAAAAGGCTGATGTTAAGCAGCTTAGTGTCATTTATTCTTACTTGTTGAATTACACTTTTTCCAGAACAAATTTAATCCAGCATTTTGGGAAATAGGATGAGTTTTTTACCCAGCGTCCCTCGTATACACTATACCTGAAATTTGGCAATGATGTTTACATTTCTACACTCCTTCGCGACAATCACCTGTCATCTGTCGATGCATCACTCTTCCGGTTCGCTCATTTTCTCCACGTGAAACAGATGTAGGAGGTTAGAAGGGACTTTTTTGGTTGGGACAATATACGAAGTATGTCTTGCAACCAATATTGGATGTCAATATTGAGTCAAGAATAGATGTACTGGCTTAACATTGTAAATCAACGTGTTTGTCAACGATGTTTGTCATTGATAGGAACAATATGCAAAATATGACATTGAAAATTAATGTTGAGCCAATATAATAAGACGTATTGTTTTAATAATGTAAATAAATATTGAAACAATATTGTCATAATTGATTGGTACAGTATACAAATTGTCATGCAACAAATATTGAATTGTAATATCGAGCCAATAAGGAAGGCCATATTGGTTCGATGTTGCAAATCAATATTGCACCAATGTATCCAAATGTTACCATTTTTTCTTACTTACTTACTCTTCGTATTGAAAAATTAGCTTGGGCTAATGTATCCGTAATATTGTTCCTATATTGGGAGAGTATACGTGTGCTACTTGGGAGCGTTGTGCGGTTAGGGTTGCTTCGAAGGTTCCCACAATATTTTTAAAGTCAGCGGCATTCACTTCTCAATATCTTTCGCGAGACTGTCGCGATGTCTGGCAACAAAGTTCCTATATAGTTTGATTGTCAAATATCGGCACACTAAAATCACTGAGGGTCCAACGTGTTGGAAAACTCTTACCTCAAAAAAGCAAAAAAAAAATAGTAGGCAAATAGCAACCAATTGTAGAGAACTGACGATTCTAAAAATTAGGTAGACTGCTCAGTATGACTCCCGAATATACAGGGTGTCTCCTAATTGACTGTCAATATTTAAGGTGACAACATTTGGGTCAATTTTAAGAAGAAAACTTTATATTATTTATATATATTTTATTATTTTGAGATACAGGGTGGTAAAGATATCACAAATAAGCAGGGCATTATGGTCAATATATCACCATGCAGATAAATGGCTTTTATTTTTTTGCAATTTAGCATCAAAATACGTAAGATTTGACTAGTTTTTATTATAACATTTAAAAACCCATATATACCCATTTATACATTTGGCAGTAGTAGCACTAGATTGTGGAATGCGAGTTTAAATCCATCATAAGCTGATAATGTAATATATTATGTAGCTTTGAATGTGGGGCATTTGTTTGTCAGCTACAATTACTTATTTCAAACTGATTAATTAATGACTTCCGCCATATACAGCGATCATTTTGCAGATTCTGGGATATTAGACGAGCCAAAAACGCCTCATTTGCGACTCATAATCACGTTTGTTGAATGTCCCTTAACATTTAACAATAGGTAGTCGCTTGTTAAAACAACATTTTTTTATAAATTACAAAAAAAATCGCCGGGACACATTTCTTTCAGGTGTTTTGTGGATCATTATGAACAAAAAATGCCTGCAGTTTTTCTCTAAAATTTCCCATTTTCGAGATCTAGGCGATTTTATAATAATAATAATAAAAAGAAAAGCTTTCAGTAAACAAAAAAGTACACACTCAGCATCAATACTAAATAAAACAAACAAGTTCAAAACACACGTAATTACACTAAAATATATATGTAAAAAAGAAAAAACATAAACAATATGATTCATTGACTAGAAAGGTTTCAATAGCATAACAAGCTTTCCGCTTTAGGTATGATGACAGCGTGGTCTTCAGCGATGCAATGCTCAAAAGTCTGACTCAAGGAGGGCATTAAAGAACTTGATACCATAATAATTATGCCCATCCCTGGATCTGTCGATCCTACTGTAGAGTATGGACATATCTTTACGGTATCTAGCATCATAGCTGTGGAGGACCCTGCCATTGTTATCAACATTTTTGCTTTCATGGAACAGGCACAGTACAGGATGTACGCACAAGGTAGTGTTATTACACCCAGAGAAATAATGTTCCATACAATCGTTCCTATAGGGTGTGTTCAAGATGACCCTGATGCATGTCCTCTGGGCAGCAAACACTTCTGATGAGCTGGCTGAGTGACCCCACAATAACACCCCATGAGTCTTACGAGTATGGGAATAGCTGTATTACGCTTGCTGAAGTATGTCAGGCGAAACAGTTTTGGATGCTATAGAGGACAAAAATGCTTTTGTTGAGTTTAGAAAGCAATTTATAAGTGTGTTCATGCCATGAGAGACGGCTATCTAAGTGCAAAACAAATGTCTCTCCTACTAACTCATTGTCGTTGTTAAAATTCTTCAAAGTGAAATCCATGGTCTGAGTTTTAGCTTCGTTCAGGAAAAGACTATTAGCAGCAAACCAAATTTTTATTTTTATTTCATTATCTACAGTGTTCAAATCATCAGCAGTGTTACCACTCTCTAGTGTGGTAGCATTATCTGCATACAGGACAACACTCTGAGAGTTATAGAGGGCCAGCTCATTTATGACTATTATAATAAGCCTGTGACCTATGACGGACACCTGTATGACCCTATGCTGTATCTCCAGGACCTCAGAGGAATTTCCCTGTAATCCGACATACTGATTCCTGCCAGTGAGATATCATGTAATAAGTTCAAGGCTGTCATGATTAAAGCCGTACTGAGCCAGCTTTTTAATCAGGAGGCAATGAGACACGCAATCAAAGGCTTTCATGGGGTCAGGAAATGTTGCCCCTGCAACCTTACCAGCATTGAAACAACATGCTTGACAAGTTGCACTACAGCTAGTGTTGTATTTCTGAATCCAACCTGACTGTCCCTAAGCAAGCCATTGGTTTCACAATAAGACAGAACCTGTTTATTTAAGATGGTTTCAAAGATCTTACTAAATATAGGCCGCATACTACTGAGCGGGGCCGTGGCAAATGCTTGTTCCGGAAGTTGTTGTATCCAGTATACAATTTATTCCTGTTCAAGTGATTGTACACTCGTCGCGGAATACCTCAGTACAGATTGCCCGGTGGCGGTACAAGTCCGGTCTATTAAATATCATTAACACGTAAAAAAGGTGGTCGACAAAGACCAGTCGACCGAGGTGGTACCACCCGCTAGCTTTTCCCAGGGTGTCTCATAAATGTCCGCATGTTTCCACACCTAAGCTATGCAGGCGGTTATCTTCCAAAAGAAAGAAACTAATGATGATGGATCCCTCGAGACCTAAGAATTCCGGACGTAAACTCACTCCACTCTCGGAATGTCCGGGTGGAGGGTGGGCTCGAGGGAACAACATCGAAGATAAAACTTGTTTTACGAACATCTGCGGGAACATTGATGCTGTTGATCAGTCGTCCCGCCATGCTTTTCTTGGCGGAGACAAAAATCTCAGAGTCTGCACTGATTAACCATCTTAGCTTCCCAAATTACGAGGTGCACTCCAATCTAAGAAAAAACGAGGGAGTTGTGGCTTTTGTCCGCAGCAATCTTTCCTGCTCCAGAGACTTCTTTGGAATCAGGCCGGAAGGACATTCTGGGTCTTCGCCTCAACTCCAAAACATCACCCTAATTTATTTGCTGCCTTTATCGCTCTCCCTCGGACCATAACCGGGATGACCTACTTGAATACCTCGCCGTCAAGATCAACTTCATGAACATCAATCACCCTGCTTCAGAGGTAGTTCTTGTTGGTGATTTCAATGCCCAAAATGAGCTTTGGTTGGACTCAAACAAGACCGATGCAGCAGGTCGTGCAGTCAAAGCGCTCGCTCTTACTCAAGGGCAGACCCGGCTGGTGACGAGACCTACTTTTTTCCACCGCGTCTCGTCACATGCCAATAGCCTGCTGGATCTCTTTCTGACCGCGCATCCTGACCCTTACAGCACTGCTATCCTGTCCCCCCTGGGTAACTCAGACCACGGTGTTGTGAAGGTTAGGTTTCGGTCAGAACCCGCTGTGGCAGCAGAAACTCGTACAGGCCGCAAAACTTGGCATAACGGATATGCCGACTGGGAGAGCCTCGCCAGCAGATCAAGCCACACAGAACCTTCTTACAAAACCCCACTGCAGAAAACAGACAAGCCGACGTCGAGTTCAGAAACAAATACAACGAAGCGGTTCGCAATGCCAAAAACCAGCATGATTTAGGCACACGGAATGTCGCAGCGCAATGGCAGTCGGTCTTTCTGGACGCTGGCTGAGCAGATTGAAAACAACTTCTCACACAGTAGCCTTTCACCACTTACGTGTCGGGATGGAACGATTGTATTCGACTCAAAGGCCAAGGCGGAAGTGCTTGCCAAGATCTTTGCTGCCAACTCCACCATGTGTGTCTTTCCCAACGCCCAAGGGCCGTCAATTCAAAGGGTTCCCTACACTATGCGGCAGGTAACATTCAGGCATAAGAACGTAAGACGAGTGCTTCTGGTCCGGACTTGAACCGTCCCATCGTACTGAAGAGGTGTGCAGCGGAGCTTGCTCCAGTTTTTTCGCGTCTCTTCCAAATATCTTGTGAATCCGGCAACTTTCCAGAAATCTGGAAATCGGCTCATGTCCAACCCAACCAAAAAAAAAGGATCTAAGATCGACCCTTACACCTACTGGCCTATAGCTCTGCTTTCTGTTATAAGTAAGGTGATGGAGAGGTGCATAAATCGCGAGTTTCTGGACTACCTCGAACGTCACAGCTTGATTAGCGACAGGCAGACCTCATAGCTTACGTCACGCAATTGTGAAGTAAACTCATCCAGTCTTATGGTGAGGCTCATGTCGTTGCTCTTGACATTACGAAAGCGTTCGATCAGCTGTGGCACGTTGCCCTCTTAAACAAACTTCCATCCTATGGCCTCCCAGAAAAGCTTTGCAGATGGGTGGCTCACTTTATCTCTGGTCGTAAGATATCCGTCGTAACTGACGGGTAGTCCTCTTCATCCCACAATGTCAACGCAGGTGTTCCCCAGGGTTCGGTCTTGGCTCCGACACTGTTCCTCTTAAATATCAACGACCTGCTCTCCTGCACGATCAACCTAATCCACAGCTTCGCTGATGACAGCTCTCTACGTGCAGGAATTCAGAGTGACAAGCCGATCTCTGCCGCTGAGCTGGAGTTTAAGAAAATGGACAACGCAGAAGAAGGGTGAGTTTATGTTAGGTTTTATTAATCATCCTTTTGTCATCTCTAATTCATAATTTTTACAATATTGTGCTGCATCTTATTTTTCATCATAACATTACAACTCTTTTGCTATGTTCATTATTCTGTTGTATCCCTCTTTTCATTAGTTAATTCAAAAAAGTTGTAGAACTTTTTATAGAAGAAAAAATACTGCATTGTTGATTAATAGAGGATTAATGAAAAATTATCTTTAACAGTGTAATAGCACAATTTTTCCCAAAGACTATGTTTTCAAAATACTTTTTTTATTTAAGTAACTTGAGAAACGATGACATTTATCCATTTTTGCAGTAATTCAATTTCTATTGTACTAGACTTTATATATGAAACTCTTTTGTACCCAGATTACTTTAAAAAAACGTATGTCCATTCATTAAAAAAGCAAAAACTGGTAGTTAGAAAATATTTTCTTTGATTCAATGTATTTGTATGTTTCCAAAGAATTGCTACCTTTTTTTAATATTTGCAAATGTAGTTTACACAGATTCATGGGTAATTTTGTTGGATTATTACTGTAGGTTATAAAAAGGGCGTTTGTTCCATGTACATATATGGTTTTACTCATATACTAATACAATATACTTTTTTACAGTATTAGATATACCTTAAATATAGGATACAATCTAGAGCTGCACAATATAGGCAGCATGCTACAGGTACTGGTGGTGGGCCTTCTAATGTTGTTAGCTTATCTGATTTATGGCCATATTGAGAACAGCAGCAGTATTTGGAGATACTGAACATCAAGTTCCATTTAGTGTAAGTACATAACTCTTGGATAAATTTAATTAAAAGTTTTTTGATTTTCAGAACCAACTCCTTCAACTTCAGCTGTTGAGCCGCCACTAGGAATAGAATCACAAATAGCTATGCAGGCAAAGATGTCATTAACGCAACTTCAAAATTTCACAAGAAATTTGGTCAAGCATATCAAAACTGACTGAAATACAGAAAGAATAAAGTATTTTACGATTATTGTTTACTTGTGCTATCTAATTTTAGACATTTTAATAAAAAATATTTGCACAAATCAATTTACTATATTATTCCTATTACTGTTCTGCAACAGTGCACTATTTTGTTGTGTGTCAAAACCACTTCTCTTAAATCATTTCCTAAATCACCACTGACCTCTTTTTTGTAATGGCACCCCCAATCCAAAAATCATATTTATAACTTTAAATACGATAAGAAGTTTGTTTCTCAACAGATTTTTAAGACAAACAAGATTTTTTTTACTTATACTTAATAACTAATAATAATTGATTTATAAATTGACGAAAAGAAAATAGGAATGTCATTAAAAAAAATCAGAGTTTCTTTTTGATTATATTTATTATATTTGTCGAAATGCTTTTGATAAAAAAATTGAAAAGAGTATTATTGGTTCCCATTAGAAATACATTTTGCGATTTGTACTAATCGTTACAAGTGGCGAAGTTTTGGGCTGTTTGAGTGATTGTTGAACACCCAGAGTTCTTTTTGAAATTTTTACGATTGTATTTAGAACAATTAATGCTAAATTGACAAAAAAATTGGGGGTTCTATTACGACAAAAAGGTCATCGGTTTTATAACTATTTTAAAAACGCAGTGCTTGCTGTTACAAATGCATTCTGCGATTTTTTCTGATCTTCACTCACGGCGTAGTTATAAACTTGATCCAAATCCTCTAAAATGGTTATTATTAATTATGAACATGTGAAAATAAACCTTTATAGAAAACTTATTCTATAAACATTAACATTTTCTTTAAGTGGTTGAGAAAACCTTTTTAAAGCAGAGCTATCATTAAACATAAGCAAATGACAATGAAGATTATTTCATGGAAATTTAAAATATTTGATACAGTAGATAATACTCCTATGCATCACCCCATGATATTTCGGGTAACACAATGGATTTAGTATAATGTTCTTCTGCAGTGCCAGGTTCTTAATGGATGTCTAGAGTCACCTGTAAAAATATATCTTTCATTATTACTTATCTTGTACCAGGTATAACAATAAGAGACAGCAACGAAAATCAAAAAATTAAAGTAAATGTTAGTGCTGAAAATATGTGGAATATTAAGACTCAGATTGGTTCCTGTATTGTTGATCTTACAGATACTGCATCTGAGGTATTGATCCTATGATTGATGAATATTGACTTATTACTCTTATTAATAGGAAATTTCAACTTCCATAGCGATGAAATGTTTATCAGGTAATGTAAACTTTTATGTGTTGTAGAATATCTGGATGATTTAATGCATCCACCACTTCCCTTAGTGCTTTGGATACACTGGGTTGACTGAGCCCATGTAAGTAACCCATGACAAAATGTTTCTGGTAGGAACCAATGGCCATCACCAAAAGTGATGCCGAAGATAAAATACAGGGTGGTCCATAAGTCCTTTGAAATTTCAAATTTGAATAAAATTTAACGGGTGAGCGTGAGCGGCGCGGGCGAGGTGGGGGCAGTATCTTCAGTGTCTGGGAATTCAGTCGCCATGGAGTGTTTCACTGGAGCGGATCGTGCTTTTTGTGTGCGCGCGTTTTATCAAAATAATGATTCGGCAACCATTGCGCGGCGTAAATATCGAGAATACCACAATTTACACAATTTTACAAAGTGTCCAACAGCTCAACGATTAAGAACTGGGTTGCTAAGTTCGAAGAGACTGGTTCGACGTTAGATAAACAGCGGTGGGGTCGACCAAGAACAACTCGTATTGAAGAAAACATCAACATTGTGGCACAGTCTGTTCGTCAAAATCCTACCCAGTCTACTCGTAAGCGTTCCAGTGCACTAAACGTACCCAGAACATCTTTACAGCGGATTTTAAGGAAAGATTTACGTCTGCACGCTTACAAAATTCAGTTAGTGCAGGAATTAAAAGATAATGACGCTATTCAGAGACTAAACTTTGCGAATGAAATGTTGAATCGATTTTCTTCGCTCAATAATGTGTTGTTCTCGGACGAGGCTCACTTCCATTTAAACGGGCATGTAAATAAACAAAATTGCCGTTATTGGAGCCCCGAAAATCCAAGGCGTAAGCATCAGAAGCCCTTACACAGCCCTAAAGTTACAGTTTGGGCTGCTATGTCAGCGCATGGCATCGTAGGCCCTTATTTTTTTGAGGACGACAGAGGTCGCGCATTAACTGTTACTTCGGAGCGGTATGTAGCAATGATAGAAGAGTTTTTGACACCAGCGTTGCAGAATTTTCCAGGCTATAATACGCAGACCTGGTTTCAAGAGGACGGAGCAACTGCCCACACCTCCAACACTTCTATGCCCGTCGTCTGTCAACTTTTTCCCAGCAAAGTAATTTCTCGAAGAGGAGACATTTCCTGGCCACTACGTAGTCCAGATTTGACCCCAATGGACTTCTTTTTATGGGGCTACCTCAAGAGTAAAGTGTACGACACCACTCCGCGATCAGTTGATGTCCTGAAAGAAAATATCCGAAGAGAAATGGTAAGCATTACAGTGTTGACTTGCCGCGCAGTCATCGACAATTTTAGACGTCGTTTATATGAGTGCCGTGATCGTAATGGATTGCATTTAGACGATGTGATTTTTAAAACATAATTCCCATTCAATAAAGATGATAACAAAATATAATAATTCTTCAACTAGTTTGGTTTTATTCCTTTTTTTTCCAGCTCAAAGGACTTATGGGCCACCCTGTATATGTGTTTCTATACTGTGGTTGGAAGGTGCAAGTAAGCTTATTTGATAATCATTATGAACTTCAAGTCATACATACTCAAAAATACGCCGTGGGCGAGAGGTTTGTGGTCTTTAACGTGCATCCTTTCACTTTCCAATGCTTCCATAAGCAAAAATGCACGAGCCACCCCAGACGTTCAAAATTGCTGAAAATACAAATTGGGAGTATAAAATCACTCCTTAGACTCATCAAGTTATTTTATTTCTTATTTGAACTTGTTATACTTACCTTTCTTGTTAAAAAAATGAATAATTTTGACAAACTTATGCAAGAAAACACTAGCAACCGATTGGCGACCGACTAGACGACTACCACTGAGCAGTTGTTAATTTGACAGTTCAAATCGCTAGTTGGTTGCTGTTGGGTCGCTGTCAATGAGTTGGGTAATACCAATTTTTTGATACTCCTAACTAAAGAATGCACTTTTTGTTCACCAGTTGCTCCATAGAGGCGCCACCGTAGCTGGTCGGCGTTTGAGACGTGCTGACTGATACATAATACGAAATTTGCGTTTGACAGCAACTATCGACCGATTCGAGTCGGTTGTCGGTCGGTTGGAAGTTAGGTAATAAGCCTGCCGGTGTAGTCCAGTTTTTGTTTAGGAGGAATCCTACATTGACGCTTATTGAACACCATTTATAAACTATCTATGCAAATAATATTACTGTGAGAGATTTACCTTCAAACAGGCAGCAATCTTTTGCCTAACAGCTTCCGAAAATTCTTCATCAGAAAGGCTCTTCCTCTCCACCGACTCCAGAAATCGTATCTTGAAATTGGTAAGAGGGGACAGCATGAAAAATAATGCATCATATGTGTATGATGATCCAAATACAGTAACACCAGTATTCATGAATGGCCTCTCTATTTGTATACAGATTGGCTGAACTTTCGTTGACAGTTGGAAAGGATACGTTTTGAACTTCAGCAAATACTTCCCATTTGTCGGTTTTTCTTCTGGTACAAAAAATGCTGCGGTTTCGTTCTCTAGAATGAATTTCTGTACATTTTCTTTGAATCTACCAGGCTCGGATATACTTCCAAAGTCAAAATTGTTTAACTTGACTATCTTCTCTAATGCTGTTTTCACTGGCTGTAAAAGTAAAATATATTTACTAAACTACCGACGCGAAAAATCATTTAACGTTTTTGAAATTAAACTCTCATATATCACGAAGTCCAGATCCCCGAGGACTTGATCTGGCACGAACACATCTCTTCAATAACAGCAGCTGCTGGGAAAAAGCTAGGCTATTTGTTTAGGACTAAGTGGTACTTTTCTCCACATGACCTCACTCTATACAAGGCTCAGATAAGACCTAGCCTCGAGTATCACTCACACGTTTGGGGTGCTGCCATGACCGCCCATATAGCAAAATCCTGGGGGGATGTTTGGTTTACGGTTGTGCGGGGGGAGAGGGGGGGGTTAGCAGAAATAATATCTTCTATGTTGGGATGTTCTTTCTCACACGCGACTTCTTACCGATCCCCCTTGCTGATGGGTGGCTGACTATCTCTGGTCGCAAGATATCCGTCGTAACTGACGGGGTCTCCTCTTCATCCCACAATATCAACACGGGTGTTCCCCTGGGATCGATCTTGGCTCCGACACTTACATATCAACGACCTCCTTTCCTGCACGATCAACCCAATTCACAGCTTCGCTAATCACAGCAGGAATTTAGAGTGACAAACCGATCTCTGCCGCTGAGCTGGAGAAAAGAGGACTAGCGACGACCTCCTCTCTGGCGAGAGATCTGGAGGTTATCACTGCTTTGGAATGCAACAATTTTGTGCAATTTAATGCTTCCAAAACACAGTGCTGTACCTTGACGAACAAAAAGCGTCCCAGCGCTCGGTTTCGATGGATGGCCGAGTTCTGCCAAAGAGCCGTTCATTTCGGCTGGTTGGGGTCCAGATCACCGAGGACTTGATCTGGCACGTCAATAGCGGTAGCCCATCATAACCGTGTCGAACTTCCTACATCCAGAACTGGCCGAAACGACCGCTCCTTTGTCCCGAGGATGTCGAGATTGTGGAACAATCTACAAGAGCAATCTTTTCCCAGCGCTACTAACCTTGCACAGTTCAAAAATCGGATTAACAAAATTTATTCTGCCTGCGTGGCTACTTCGATATTGATAGAAAGTGGGACGAATTAGCTATATGTCTGAATACTCATGGATCTGGAGCTACAAAAAAATGGACAACGCAGGAGAAGGGTGGGCTGTCGGCGATCTAGCTCTCTTTTATCGCTACCCCAATGGCATTTGCTCCTCAGAGCTCCCATTCTAACCGTGTCGAACTTCGTACATCCAGAACTGTCCGATACAATCGCTTCTTTGTCCCTAGGGCGTCGAGATTGTGAAACAATCTACAAGAGAAGACTTTGTTCTACCAACCTTAGACAGTTAAAGAATTGGATTAACAAAGTTTCTGCGGGATTCTCATAGCAGCCGCGGTGTCCCGGCATTTAAGCTTCTGCCTGCGCGGCTGATTCGGTGTAAAAAAATGCTGTCAAGTAAGTTACCTATGTACTTTCTACTCAACGATGTTGATGAAGTGATAGCACTGATCAACATACACTGAAAACCAAATTTTGTTGATGGGCGCGAGTTCAATGTGTACGAGAGACAAGCGGGAGAAGTGCTACAAGGCACATATGTTAGAAAGTGATACTTCTTTTTATCTGCAGCCACTCGACCGATTTTCAAAAACTACAAAGGTTTTACATTGAAATCTGAGCAGTCCTTCTCAAGTTATATGCAGTTATAAGATTAGTGTAACTGAAATGACAAAAAAAGTCAGGTCAAATATTGCAAAACCAAAAAATGCTGAAAGTGAATCCTTTGTTGGCTGGTTCCATCCACAATTAGCCATTGATTCCTACATAATTATACTGTTACTAACTACTTTTGCAGTTGAAAATTTTAGCCTTCCATACAAACATTGCTGTTGCTATAGTCTTGTTATTTTTATACATACCATAACAGCATCAGTCACACTTTGCACAGCCACATGATCAAAGACAGAGAGATTGTTGCTAACAAATACTCCAACATTCTCTTTAGCCTTCGGGTTTTCAATAGTAACAGCTATTCCTAATGCCATGCATGTAATTTTGTTGATGAATTTGCGGCATGGAACAGTTTCTGGTAAAATATAACCCAGCAGCATAGCACATAAAAGTACAATGATTCTCAACAATAGTATAATTACTCCTAAGGGTATGTACAAGACAAATAGAATTCTTGTTGTATCTCCATCAGGAAACCTAAAATTGGTAAAAGTAAACTGCATGTATATTTTATAATTCTATTCTTACCTGCTGTAGTTAAACAAGTGCTTGATTTCAATATTGGACATGATAGTTACAAAAGTTTTGCAAAATTTTTTCGAGAAAGATGGTCTTATAAGCCATGAATGATGTAAAGCATAATTAAAAGTTTGTTACGTTTGCTATGCCTTACAAAGACATACTGTTACAAAACATACTGTGGACAAAGTGTATGTTGAGATTTTGAGATATTTTTTGGTGTGTGATATATGATATTTTCGTACAAAACACATAAAACCACAGAAGACTGAAGAAGTGGGAGCTGGCACGTTAAACAATTGCAGCATCGTTGACGTTTGTCAGATGGTTGCGCCGCCTACTTGCCTAGAGATCTGCAGGACCTATCGAAAGAATGCCGAGAATGCGACTGGAATGAGCAATGTGCCAGGGGTTTCGTTTGTTTATAATTTAAAATGTGTTGAAAATGATATTTCCGATATTGAAGGATTATTTCATGAACATATATTCAAAAAATATCCCCAGTGAGGGTAATATCTCTTTCACCAGTTTTGCTCAGAACAAGGTTCAGAATAATAAAATCCAGCACTAATTATGAAGCACAAAATATATTTATATTCAAAAAAATATATGCTGTTGAGAATGGTATAAAATTGTATTACATGAAAATATAGATAGATTTATTCCAAATACATGTTGTGTGTTGCAAAACACAGGTGTCTCACTTTGTTGAATTGCTTCTTGATAAATCTGAAGCAAGACGGGAAACATTAATGTAGTTCGCAGCCTACCTGTAGTACTTTATGACTTATGACTCTGAACTTCTTTCTCTCCCACAATAGTCACAAGACATCTCACGTAGCTGTGATGGTAGCTACTGATAGTGTTGCTTTATATTTTATGCTCATTTGTTCCGAAATATCTCCGTTGATAATCTGGATATTAACCAAAACAAACGCCATCTTTGATACTTTTACATTTACATAAAGAATCCCAACAAGCAGCACGTCATGTGATGCCGGTAAGGCAGTTTCCTCGATTTTCCTCGGAGAGGATGACCTTGGTGTTGCCAGTTCGACCTTAAGACGTTTTATCGCTGCAAGGCCACAAAACATATACACTGTAGATCACAAAACATATACAGGGTTATCCAAATCAAGTGTCCACCATTAGTAACTTTGTTATTAGTGAAAATACAAAGTTGTTTGGATTAGCAAACTAGTAGCATTTTTAACGCTGGTAAAAATGAGAAATAAAAAAAAACAATTGAGAGTCGTTATTTTGATTTTTTTCAGTAAAATAACATTTTTTTAAATGGAAACCCCTGTATATTATATTTTTTTCTGTTAAAGCATCAAATTTTAAACAAAAAAGCTTACAATAACTTTTCTCCTAGGTTACAAATTGTTGAAGTTATGGCCTCCAATCTGAAACAATTAAATTGTATCGACAAACTTTATTTTCAACATCAACTTATAATCTTACAAAATACAATAACAATTTTTTTTAAAGAAGATGCTCGAAAACACCACCTTGTTCTTCAATACATTTTTGGGCACGTTTTTCAACTGCTCGAACTGTCTTAAGTATGGTCCTACCATCTATCTGGGTTATCTTTTCCCTAACTGCAGTCTTTAACGCGTCAAGGTTATCGTACCTTCGCTTGTAAATTTGGTTCTTTAAGTAACCCCACAAGAAGTAATCAAGTGGGTTTAGATCTGGTGATCTGGGAGGCCACTGTATTGGGCCATTTGTTCCTATCCACTGATCATTAAAAGTAGTACTTAGAAAATGATAAGTACCTCTGGAGTTGTGGGCAGGTGCGCCATCTTGCTGAAAATGCAGATGATGTCTACTTATAAGATCCAATTCGTCTAAGAAATTAGTCAGAATTTCTGACATAAATTCCACATATCTTTCACCAGTTAGGGTTCCCTCATAAAAGAAAGGGGCCAACAATTTTTGAACCAATTATACCGCACCAAACGTTGAAACTGAAACGGACTTGTGGGCCTCTTGGATGTACTAACAAAAGATTTTCTCTTGACCAATAATGGTGGTTTTTTCTATTAAACATTCCAGAATTTGAAAAATTTGATTCATCTGTCCATAAAAGGTAACGAAAGTTATTTACATTTTGGCGACAGAAGCTAAGATACCAATGGCAAAAAACAAGTCTTCTCTCTGGATCCCCTGCCAAAAGCGTTTGAACTGGTCGGTACTTATACGGAATAAATTTGTATTTTTTTAAAATCCTTTGAACAGTACCATAACTGAAATTAGAGTCCTTGAGAATATCTGCTATTGAATTCTCACGATAAGCTTCAAAATATCCAATAACTGCAATTTCCGTGGCCTCGCTTATTATGAATTCTTTTTTTGCCCTTGTTTTAGCAAAAACATTTTCGTTGCCCCTAAATTTTCGATAAAGTCTCAGAAAATATCGTTCATACGGTTGAATGCGAGCGGGATATAATTCACTGTAGTATTCTCTTGCTCTCAAGGAGGATTTTCTGCACACTAAATAGCATTCTAACATATCACACTTTTCTTCATGGGAGAACATTTTTCTTTAAATTAATGACACAATAAAGCTTATAAACAAGTATTTACACTAATGTTTGACATTATTTGATTTTATCATTGTTTTCCAAAGCCTTCTAGTTGCGAGTATGTCCAGTTTAACAATTTGTCGCTTATCTTAATGCTGTCAAATCGCGAACGCCATGTTGTTTTCATAGCCGTCTTAATATTATAATACTGCAAATAATTAAAAATATTTATCGTTATTTTGACTTTATTTTTGACTTTAGCGGAAAAGTCATTATGAACTTTTTTGTTTAAAATTTGATGCTTTAACAGAAAAAAATATAATATACAGGGGTTTCCATTTAAAAAAATGTTATTTTACTGAAAAAAATCAAAATAACGACTCTCAATTGTTTTTTTATTTCTCATTTTTACCAGCGTTAAAAATGCTACTAGTTTGCTAATTTAAACAACTTTGTATTTTTACTAATAACAAAGTTACCAATGGTGGACACTTAATTTGGATAACCCTGTATACTGAAGACAGTTTAATTCCATGACATTCAATGACAAGACGGCTGACTTATCTTTTTTTCATACCGAAGCAGCCGCGCAGGCAGAAGCTTAAATGCCGGAACACCGCGGCTGCTATGATGATCTCAAAGAAATTTTGTTAACCCGATTTTTGAACCGCATAGGGTGAGTAGAACTGGGAAAAGCTTCCTCCTGTAGATTGTTCCACAATCTCGACAACCTCGGGATAAAAGAGCAGTCGTATCGGCCATTTCTGGAAGTACGAAGTTCGACTCGGTTAGGATGGGAGGCCAAAGTCAGGCGGGTCTGTCTGGCAGGCACATCGCGTGGCGGCATCATGGAAGAGAGCCCTGAGGAGCAAAGCCCGTTGGGGTAGCGGTAGAATAGAGCTAGATCGCCGCGACGGTCTGCAGGTGCGAAATCGTCCCGAGACTGTCTGTTAGAGAAGAGTCATCGATCAGTCGGACAGCCCTCCTCTGGACAGCATCGAGCATAAATAATATAGTCGGGGCGGCAGCACCCCAAACGTGTGAGCAAAACTCGAGGCTAGGCCTTATCTGGGCCGTGTATAGAGTAAGGTCATGCGGAGAAAAGTACTTCTTAGCCCTAAACACTAACGTTTTCCCAGCAGCTGACCGCTATTGACTAGATGTGTTCGTGCCACATCAGGTCCTCGGTGATCTCGACTCCGACCAGCCAAAATGAATGGCTCTTTGGCGGAACTCGGCTATCCATCGAAACTGGATGAGCGCTAGGTCGCTTTTTGTTCGCCAAGGTACAGTACTGTGTTTTGGAAACATTAAACTGTACAAGATTGTTGCGTCCCCAAGCAGTGATAATATCTAGGTCTCTCGTCAGAGAGGAAGTTGTCGGTAGTCTTCTTTTTTCCAGCTCAACGGCAGAGATCGGCTTGTTACTCTGAATTCCTGGATGTAGAGTGCTGCCATCAGCGAAGCTGTGGATTGGCTTGATCGAGCAGGAAAGGAGGTCGTTGACATGTAAGAGGAACAGTGCCGGAGTCAAGACCGATCCCTGGGTCACCCGCGTTGACGTTTTTTGATGAAGAGGAGAACCCGTCAATTACGACGGATATCTTGCTTCCAGAGATAAAGTCAGCCACCCATTTGCAAAGCTTTACTGGAAGGCCATAGGATGGAAGTTTGCTTAAGAGGGTAGCGTGCCACAGCTGAACGAACGCCTTCGTGATGTCAAGAGTAACGACATGAGCCTCACCATAAGACTGGATGAGTTTACTTCACAATTGGGTGACGTAAGCTAGCAGGCCCCCTGTGGATCGCTGGTGCCGGAAACCATACTGCCTGTCGCTAATCAAGCTGTGCAGTTCGAGGTAGTCCAGAAGCTCGCGATTTATACACCTCTCCATCACCTCACTTATAACAAAAAGCAGAGTTATAGGAGTGTAGTTGTCAGGGTCGGTCTTAGATCCCTTTTTTTGAGATGTGTTGGACATGAGCAAATTTCCGGTTTTCTGGGAAGTTGTCAGATTCATAAGATATCTGGAAGAGACGTGAAAGAACTGGAGCAAGCTCCGCTGCACACCTCGTCAGTACAATGGCAGGAAAGAAGTCCGGACCAGAAACTTTGTTGATATCGAGCGACAAGAGCATTCGACTTACGGTTTTATGCTTGAATGTTACCTCCCGCAAAGTGTACGGAACCTTTTGAATTGACGGCACCTGGGCGTTGGGAGAGATGTCCATGGTGGAGTTGGCAGATTTTGATAAGCACTAGCCTTTGAGTCGGATACAATGGTTCCATCCTAACACGTTTTTTCTCAGGTTCTCCGGAATTCTTAGTGCTCGAGGGATCCATCATCATTAGTTTCTTTGTTTTGGAAGATAACCGACTGCATATCTTAGGTGTGGAAACATGCGGACATTTATGAGACATCCTGGGAAAAGCTAGCGAGTGGTACCACCTCGGTCGACTGGTCTTTGTCTACCACCTTTTTTACGTGTTAATGATATTAGATAGACCTAAAGTGGCCCGTTGGCGGACGTGTACGGCTTGTACCGCCACCCGGCAATCTGTACTGAGGTCTTCCTTAACGCGTGTAGAATCACTTGAACGGGAAGAAGTTGTATACTGGATACAACTTCCAGAACAAGCATATGCCTAGGCCCCGCTCAGTAGGGGTGACTTATCTACTTATCAGCGGCAATTTTTGAGGGTAGGCCGTAGTTGCCAGATTGTGCATTCAAGCCGCGCAACGTTGCCAGCTCTACATATAATTATGAGACTGCTATACTTTTATATATA